ATATTCACTTTAAAAATCGTAATTTTCATTCTTGGTTAAGTAGCAGAAGTTCATCTCATTTGAATATGCAATTTCCATCCTGCTTCAATATATAAAAATAAAAAGAAACATTTCAAATGGCCAACAATATTTAGGTGTATGCCTGTATGTTTTTGTTGGATTGTTACAGAAGGATGGAAATTTGTTAGACTTTTTGTCAAATTCTGCTGATGTTGCATTCAAAAGTAATCTGCACAATTTCATATATTTATTACTTGAAGGTTCCCCAGCACATAGACACCAGTTTATATACAATTTTAAAACTGGTTATGTACTTGGAAAATGATGAATACAACATAGCTTGTCTAATGCCACCTTAGATAGCTATAGCCATGTTAGAGGCATTGTTCAGAGTCATTGCACAATTAGCTATGCATATATTTCCTTCTATTGTGAAATAAATAAAACGGTAAGCTTAAATCAACTTGAAATGCTTTGAATCAAAATAAGGAAGCTCTTCATGCAGATTGCAACCATACCTGTGTTTCTAGAATATGCAGAAGTTAAAAAAATAAAAAGAAATAGTTTACCTCGGGGGATGCAAATCCTAAATATTCCCAATCCCATGTTCCACCAGCAAAGCTATAAAATGAAGAGATATACCATAAAGTTTAGAAGTAAAACAAAGTATGAACAACCTCCAGAGCTTCAAAACCTATCAACATCTAAAAGTAGTGCAACTGTAACTCCCTAAACTTAACAAGTCTTCTGCTTTAATTCTTACCTCAAAATTAATTTAGAAAACCATACAATTAAATTGTTGACTGTTCCAGAACTGCTTGATATTTTTAGCAAATACTTATAGATTTTTTGGAGTGGTATTTAGTGACAACCTTGAAGGAGAAAAGTGAAATGGAAGCCACGACATCTAATCATTAATATATCACAAATGGGGAAGCAATTTAGGCTGCAACATACAGAGCAGTGATTCTCAAATACATTTTTCCTCAGTGAAAAGCTGTAATTCCACAAGGATCAAATGTCCAAGAAAATGTCACTATCTGGTGATTTACAACCACCACGTTTATCAGCTCCACTTTACCTCACTGTCAAAGAATGACAGTGGATTCACCCACTTCGGCAGATATCAATGAACTTTTTTGACTTGCACAGTGTTTTGTCTGGATTACCTGCGCCTGGGTGCTTCTGGCGAGTCTGCAGGAGCAACACCACGGGCCACAGAGGCCAGGAACTCTTGCCGTTTCTGCTGCACAAGACAAGCTGCACGGATGATTTTATGGCGAGGAGTCCGAAGGTAAGGCCTGTTCACTTTCTGTGCAAGGTCTTCAGTGACCATTTCTAGGTCTGTCTGCAATAGTTAATAAAATAATTTTACAATGAAATGAAAATCAGGCAGAGCTCTACACCATAAATACTGAGCAGAATGATATCCATTTTCCTGGAAATACCATTTGAAATACCAAAATACCCCAAAATGACTGTCCTTCTAGCCTACCCTTTTACTGACCTAAATGCTGTCCTCCAGCTTCAAGCAGGGCTTCCCTGCAGTCAGACATATTGAACATCTTCAGGGGCCCTAAAGGAAAGGGAAGGAGGCAGCAGACCCTGCTGCTGATGCCAGTCCCTCCCAGGTACTCCCCCAATTTTGCCCCCACCCACTTGTCAGACACATTAGTAGGGACAGACAGGAAAGAGGCGCCAGAGGAGATGAAGACTGAAGCTAAAATGTTATCCTCAGAAAGCAGATCAACAGGAAATAATTTTCTTTCTTTCCCCTTCCACCTGTCCTTATCCCTTTCCTTTTTCAGCAAAGTGGTCTGTTTCATTCATTCTAAAATTGAACTAAAAGCTACTGTGTTGCAGAGTAATAAAAATGCACTGATTTTCCAAACTTGGTTACAAATACAAAATGGATATATAAGTTTTACACTACAAAAATGGCAAAAATAATAAATATTTTATTTATATAAATAATAATAAAGAATATTTATTATTATTAATAAATAATTCCGTAACATTACAAAAAATATTACCAAAAAAGAGTAACATTAGAAAAGCAAAACATATGCATGTATTACCTGCATAAGTTCAAATATTTCTTTCTTTGTGCTTTTAGGCTCCAAAAAGAATCCATATGGATAAGAACACTTAAGAATGCGGCGAGTTTTTAGAAGCTCTTGCACTGCATCTTCAATGAATGTGGTATCAGGACAGCCTCCCTCAGCTGTAAGATGAAACAAGCATTGTGCAAATATATGCTGATGTCAGCGTTTCTTTTAGCGTAAGAGTTTTCCTCCAAAATAAAATTTATGTGCATGCCAGTTAAATATTTTGCAAGCAAACAGCAGCAGGTTCTCAATGACTACACAGTGTTCTTACTAAAAGAAGTAAGCACAGAATATTAGCTTCTCCCTTACTAATGCTACTTTCTCCTTGAGTCTTTGGAATAGATAAGATTTACTGTACATTTAGCTTTCATCCACTGCTTATGAATTCTATTACTGGAGGGATCACATCACACAGCAGACTGATGTGAGCTCTATGCAAGCTAAAAAAAAGGTTTAGCCGTAACAGAGTTGACTTGATTTCAAATCAAATTCACAGATCACAGCAAATACTTACTTCCACTGAGAGCTCTACTCAACTGCTCCATCTTTTCTTTGGCTGTTTTTAGAAGGCGCTGTTCTAACTAGAAAGACAAAATAAATAAAATACAGTAAGATAATTATTTTTTTATTAATAAAATAGAAACAAAAATCAGTAAAAATGGCTTGACCCACACCTGGTAGCTAAGTTCATGGTTCTTAAATCTTGTGTAATAGTGCATAAACCTATCAAGCTCTTGAAATCTTCTATGCTTCTTTTCAGCCTGGAAAATAATGGGGAAACAAAAGAAACCAAGATAAATCTTATGATTTAATTTAGCAATCACCATTAGATATAATTACATAACCATCTGTTTCTGTTCCCACTATACATAAAGCATTGTACACAATGCTGATGAGTGCCATGTAAGTAAAGAGACAAATGTCATTTCTGAAATTCACAAGTCTGCAAATACTGCAGCCAAAGAGTTGATACACTGTGTGTGCAAGCAGACTTTCCAAATGCCAAAATTAAGGCATGTCTTCTGTAGTGCGCAGCAGCTAATTACAGTACCAGCACGCCCATTTCACAAAAGGAAACCATGGCACAGAGAAGTAAAATGACTTGAGTAAAGTCACCAGTGGTTGTTACCAAAGCCAAAAGCAGAACCAAATCTTATGTTTCTATCCACAAATAAGCAGTGTTTCTTTTCTGTCTCTTTGATATACTTAAAGTTGTGTTTTTCCATTTAAAACTCAGGTTAGGAAGAATTTTGATGAAACTTATCCTAAATAGAAAATTGCAGCCTTAGCACTATTTTTCAAACACACACATTCATTTGTTACCTCTACTGTCATCTCCTTGGACTGTTCCTCTACATGTTGAATAACCTCATAGCGAGTGCATCTGTAGTAGCCTCCAGTGGAAGAGCTGTGCTTCTTCCATTCTTCTAAGCATATCCAGCAAAAGTCATATTTGCACTTCAGAAAAAAAAGGAACAAGGGGGGGTGGGGGGGGGAGAAGTTGATACATTGTAGCTTTGCAGTTACACATCATTATTCCTCCATGAACAACTGAATTAACATAATTCTGAGCATGCTGATGGTCAAAAAAATTTCTGAGGAGCCTCCTTCCTATTTTACCTACTACAGAAGATCTGGGTTATCAAACCACATCAGTCATAATTTTTGTTCCTTGGATCACAAGATTATGTTGGATCTACAAGTTAAGTTTTAAGTGGATGAAATAAATCAAATGATAAATAGAGCTGATCAGGTCTGGTTTTTTGTTACTGTTTTTAAAAAAGTCCCATTTTTTAAGCGACATAGAAACTGTTCACGAGAAAGTGAATTTTTTCCTAATATCACTTAAAAAAATGTGATTACTGGTATTTTTGTCATGTGGTGTTTCTGATGCAATATATTAATAACAACTACTAAAGCAAGAGAGAAGAAACCAGAACATAAACTTTGAAGAGTGATTACTTCAAGGTGAGCCTTTTCTGCATCGACTGAGTAGAGAGCTTTCAAAATAGGTAACTTATAATTATTCATTATAAGAAAAAAATAATTACAAAATATTCAAAAAATGGTATGAAACAAGTTGTTTCACAAGCAACAGAACTAATAAAGCTTGACTTTCTATTAATTTATGTGTATAGGCTCCTACTGCAATAATCTCACCTCTCCCAAATTATCTCCCTCCGTGACCATTCCACTATCTATATCTTCTAATCTCTCACATCTCCAAAAGCCTCCTCAAAAACCCAAGATTCACCCAGTGTTCCCAGACCCTCCTCCAATACCTCAGTCTCATTAAACGTTCAAACCCACATCACCTGTTTCTACACATCTCCCAAAACCCTGAGCTCTGTTTTATGTGCCTTTATGATCACCAAGCCATGCAGCAGCACCGCCTAGGCTTAACAAATCGCATCTGCTGCCTGGCCACTGTCTGAGCCAAGCAGAAGAGGCAACTGCTAAGCAGGTAACTGCTGAGTAGGTATTTCAGCCTCGCTCTTGGTGGCAGTAAAAATTAAGTGTCTGCACCATACAGCTACCAAGTTTCATGAAACTTGCAGTAATCTAACATCCGTGAACCCCCTCCTCTTCCTTCGTATCTGGTTCAAAGTACCCAGAAGGTTAAAAAACTACTATAGGTAGGGGAGTGAAAGAGCAGGACTGCCTAAGCCTTGCCTCCTTAGAAACTGGGCTCATAAAACATTAAGATGCCTGCTTAAGTACAGAAATGTGATTTTATGAGTAAAGAGCATCCTCCTCTACACTAAGGTACACACTAGCTGCTAAGAGGCAGTTGTAGCTCATCATGTAGTAGGCTTGAGCAGACCTTACTGCAGCAAAGGCAGAAGCTCCGTCACAGACCCTTACTTCAGTGGAGGAAGAGACAAGCGAGGTGACCACTATACCTTGTGTCTGAGCCCTGCAATGAGCTTGAGGATACCCTTCCTTTCCTTCCTCACTAGGCTGAGAGGCAGCTTCTGTTTGCAGAGATTTCTCCACCACAAAAGGAATCTGACTGTTTTAAGGACACTTTAAGCTGTTTATAAGGTACAGCAACAAAGAAAAGAGAACTGTGGTCGTCAGCCAGTGTCTCAGAATGGTACCGAATTAAATTATCTACCTTCAACAGTGTTTAATGGCCAAAGTCTTCTCCAGCCTGAAGCCATACTTTTGTTCGATTGAGATGAGCTCAGTGGCAAAAGCTGCAACAAACATACCTTTTATGGTTTTTAGCACTATGGAATTTATGAGCTCTTTTAAAAATCATTTAAGAAAAAAAAAAAACCCAAACCAGCAAACTTGGCATAAACCAAAGTGGAGGAGAATCTATCCTCTGCTGCCACAGACAAAACCAAAGAAACGACACCAAAAAAAGCCCCAACCTTCAATTCATATCACAGAAAGAGAGAGAATATGTAATGATGATAATATAAAGAAAATGGGATCTGCATAGCAATGGAGAGAGACTAACACATTTCCAGAAAAATAAAGAGAATTACTTTCTACATCTCTTAGCTTTTTATTGGAGGCCGACTATGTCAAGTGTGTGCTACTTTCTTATTTTTAATGATGCTCCTCAAAGAGGTATTAGCTGTAGTTATAGAAGGTATTTCTGACATAAAGAAACAGTATTCTAAATATGCTGCTTTTAACTAATTTGAGAGAAAAAGCATTCTCAAACAATACTGAACTCATGGCAAAAAATATTTTTTCTATTTCAGTAGCACAGTGCAAACTCATGACTAAATCTTTGGCTGCTGTCACCAGTAAGTTTCTTTTGGAATTACTCTTTGCTGTCTTTTCATTTCTACTGATTAATTCCTGTTCACAGTTTTCCATTTAAAACTTCTCTGTTTTGTTGCTATGTTAGAGAAATAATGCAAAAGAAAAAAGCAAGAAGGCAAAACCTACCTTAGAGCTTACCATTCCTTAAAATGTTTCATCTTCTGCCAACTAAAAATGCTCTTTCTCGTCTACATTATTAATGATGATTAAACTGTCAATTATTTCTGTTTCTTTAAGTTTCATACTGTATTGCCAGTAGTTCTTAGGTGTTTATGAAATTTCAATCATTACAGTGTTCAAAAGCCAGTTGTCCTGGTTTCGGCAGGGATAGAGTTAATTTCCTTCCTAGTAGCTGGTACAGTGCTGTGGTTTGGATTTAGGATGGGAATAATGTTGATAACACACCCATGTGTTAGTTGTTGCCAGGTAGTGCTTACACTAGTCGAGGACTTTTCAGCTTCCCATGCTCTACCGACTGAGAAGGCTGGAGGTGCACAAGAAGCTGGGAGGGGGCACAGCCAAACTGGCCAAAGGGACATTCCATACCATGTGACGTCACGCTCAGTACATAAACTGGGGGAAGCTGGCCGGGGGGCCGCTGCTCAGGGACTGGCTGGGCATCGGTCAGCGGGTGGTGAGCAATTGTACTGTGCATCACTTGCTTTGTGTAGTAGTAGTATTATTATTACTACATTATTATTATTATTGCTATTATTATTTTATTTCCATTATTAAACTGTTTTTATCTCAACCCACAAGTTTTTCTCACTTGTGCTCTTCCAATTCTCTCCCCCATCCAACTGGGGGGGTGGGGGGAGGAGCGAGCGAGCGGCTGCATGGTGCTTAGTTGCCGACTGAGGTTAAACCACAACACCAGTCAAACAGATTTCACTAAATATGAAATATTTTCTAGATACATGTAACCCACCATTTGTCAATTATCTAATTCTTGCAACAGGTTCCATTAGATCTCAGGCATGATATTCAGAGGTTTTGGAAGTCTGTGCTCCTAAAATGTATACATAACATACACAACCTGAATTATGGTTTCACAACAAGTTCTATGAAGGGTCTTTCTCACCTTTGCACATTGCATGTGGTTGCAGCCCTCATTCTTCTGAATTGGAGATTTGCAGTTGGCGCATGGTTTGGAGTTCGTTAGTAACCACAGGCAGTTGGCAGCATCTTCATATGCCTCACTCACTCCCACAACTTTTTGAGGGTGACAGGAGGATATGGAGCATGCAAAAACAGAGAAGTTGAAATTGTACTTGTGTAATCTTTTGTGAAAATCAGATTAGGAAAGATATACTTTTACCTGTTTCTTGACAGAATATTGTAATTCTTCACTATATGTTTCTCACATATATAAATATATACATTTTCTAATTTATACGTATTATATACAATATTATTACACATAGTATTCCTATATATTTCCACGCATATATTTCTATACAAATTTATATATGTTATATATGATGTTTATAATATACAAATGAGCAAATACATATATGAGAAAAATAGGCATAGTTTGACAAAGTACGGTGTATTTTGCTCCTTTATAAAATTTTCTATGCTTTCCAGAATATTTATAACATATTATGGAAAGGCTCTGAACTGTGGTAATCAAGTATTCAATTCAAATTACTGTTAATTTTTCATTTTTTTGTTTCTGTTGACCAAGAAAATGTCTGTCCTGTGTAAACCCAACCTTTATTAGTTTTTTCAGTAAAAGTTATTTATCATTAAGCCGTTCCCCACAATTCCCTTGCAATTCACCCTCAACCTTACTATTATTATCACCTGTTGGCTTGAATTAGTTTTAAAGCACACAAATGCATGGAACACAACTCAAACAGAAGTGTAGACTGGGCTAAAAGATTTAAAAATGCCCAGGACAAATAAAGTTATATTCAGGAATAAATCAATTAATTAATGAAACAAAGCTGTAAGAGGAAGGGAAAAGTGTTTTGTATGCCCTGACTGAACCACACGCGGATTTATGGGGAGGAATGGTTTAAGGAGAACAGTCTACCACTAGTGCTGCCTAATATGCAGTTAAAGTGTGAAGCAGCCCCTCATTCAAGGGTTTAATTTTCTTCCCCTTTTACCCTATTTTTCAACCAATGTAGTTTTTACTTAATGCAACTAAAAAATCCCTCTAAACCCAAAAGATAACAACAGCAGCAAAAAAAATTACCCACCCCCCCCCACTCCACCCCCCCAGCATGACTCTTACGTTCTTCTGGTTTCATTTCAGATATTTTCTGTAGCCAGTCCTTCCAGGTTTGGCAGTCACAAGGTTCATGTGCTTCACCAAGACATTCCCTGAAAATGAAGGTGTACACACAATAACTTATCATTTAGAGATTTAGAATTAAAGTTAAATTTGGTTCAAGCTAAAAAACATGGAAACTTATCAAGACACGCTCAAACTTTAATTAAGTCAGGAAGATAAAAAGCGATCCAATTAACATTATTTTAAAATACTCTTAGACTACTTGCTCACAAGTATAGATGACCATCGTTAAGATCAATAAAGAATTTAAATGAGACAGGAAAGGAAAAGAGCTTTTTAAAATTACAATCTGAAATAAATCAGCTGGTTTTGCAGCTGGGTACTATTTTAGTGCCACAAAAAGTGCTAGTATAGTTTCTGTGATAAAGGTAAACCAGAATAAAGAGATTATTCAAAACTAGGTAGTTTGCTATAGCTGAAATGCATTTTACATAGAATTACTTGCATCTATTCAGTTGTAATAATTAATCTTTAACTAGATTCAAGCTTTCAATCTAGAACAAGATCCAAGCCCTTGAACACCAGCATTAAGTATTTATGGATGTTTACTCTTTCCAACAGTCTCTTAAATGGGAGCTTTAACTTAGTTACACGGACCCAGTTGAGAAATGAGTCCCTTGAGCTTCTCTTGAAGTTACTACTAGCTTTAAGGATGGCAATCACTGCTACACAGTGGCAGATATATGGCTTCCAGATGGTGCTTGGGTATAGATGTGTCAATATGGACTCTGGATTTGTAATGACTCCCTTTTTTACTGGAAAGGCAGCAAATAGCCTCAGACATCTGCCACATCAAACAAAACAATTCAGAGGGAGTATATTTCAGATGGGCACCAGCTGCATCAGAGCATACGCAAGTTTTCTGCAGATCCAATGGTGAACTGCTTTCTGCAGGGCAGATTCAGAAGCTACATCAATACTCTTCTGATTGCTCTTGTCCACATCTTAAGCAGGAACACAGGAACAAACAAAAGGTTACAGCAACAATTTTTAACTTTTTTCCCACTAGCTAGTCTGCTATCAAACAAGCTTAAATTCACTACACAAGGACCTCTGGTTTGGAGATACTTAAGATCTGTAGCTGGGAAAGATTGTACTGGAATGAATAACTAGTCTGTAATAAGGCAATCTCAACCCTGGTTGCAAACTGACACCTTTCACTTCCGTGGGACAGTAGTACACTTAAATCATTGACTTCAAGAGAGCCAAGACCTCTCACACAGTATTTGTTCCCAGAAAGGACTGAAATTAGCAAAAATTAACTTTAACAAACTCAGTTTTAAGTTAAAAGCTTGTTAGTCAGTCTATTACTGGGGCAGGGAAAGGCTATGTCTTTGACGTTTTCAAATGTGTAAATTTGTGGATTTTTAATGAATTGCAATCATATGTATATATCATGTATCTGTATCTAGATCTATATGATAGTCACAACAGAGTGTTAAAGAACAACTTCTCATGGAAGAAGTTCTTTCCTCAGCCCACCCCAAAACAAGGATTTTTATACTGGGATGCCATTTTACTGGAGTAAGAGTGTTGAGCCTATCGCTCATAAAACTTTTTACGAAACAAAGCTGTATTTTGGATAGACTCCCTGACAGCACTGAATGAAGGGAGCTAACGCCAAACGGCTGTGACAATTAACAGCGTTAGCTTCCCCAGACTGCCTTCCTCAATACTCAGCAAGATCATTTATTTGAAGGTGCAGTACATACTTAATAAAATTGTAGCAAGTTTCAACAAGTTAAAATTCATGGAAGGGCTAAAAACATCCAAGAAGAATGCAGTTCAGGATTTTCTTTCCCCTCCTGATAATATTTGTATCATATAATGAATTTTGAATTAAAACAGCAAAACACTGTTGCAACTTATAATTGGCTTCCCAAGTGCACCTGAAGAGATGTCTCTCCCACAGAATGAGACTCTGCCCCTTGTCTCCATCTAGGATGAAAGGAGCGAGGACTTACGGTGCAAAACTAAGTGTGTACTTCCTGCTACGACTATTTTCCAGAAGTGTCTGCTCGCTACAATTCCTCGTGCTTCTGAAACAGCATGAAGGGGTTTTAATATGTTGAATGTATCTGATAATACACAGACGTAGGATTTGTGCACAGTTTTCATTTGTACTACATTTAAATATCTCAGAACGCTTTTTCTGAAAGGGAATAGAATTTTGTGTTTGTCACAACAGATTACATTTTGTTGAAGGTGCTGTTAGTGGTGGGTAATGAAAAATGAGTAAATTCTAAGGAACTCTGTATTTAGGAGGAACATTCCTACTTCCACATTAAAAAAAAAAAAAAAGGGAAATTGCTTAATAGAGAATTTTCTTGTTTTTATGAGCAGGAAGGCTGTAGATCCAAAAAAAGCAAGTGATTATCTAGGGGCTGGTTGGGGTTTTCTAATACATAAATTCCGAATGATCTCTTACTAAATGCAGTATCAATTGCTATTACAATATCTAAACTGTAGATTACCTGGGTAAAACTTCCAGAACTGACGTAAGTATGGAACTGTGGGATGTGTTGACTGAACTTTAAAGATATAAAGCAAGCTCCCTTTAAGCCTACAGTAATGATGAAAACCCTCTGAACTGAGAATACACTTTCTTTTTCTTCAGAGGAACTCATTCATGCACGGGGTTTTTGTACTGTAAGACTAATATGGCTGTCCTTAGCAAATGGTTCTGATTTCTAGTACTGCAGGATGCTTTGGTTGCTAGCAGAACTTTCTTGCCATTGCTGAAACTCTTCATTCACTTTTGTGGGGATGAAAAAAAGGCCTTGGAAAGGCCTTCTTGGACATTTTGCTGCTAGAATGAGGTCTTTTTCAAGACCTTAACCGTATTTGTTTGTGCAGTATCTCAAAGCATTAACATAAAAAGGACATTCAGAAATATCAGGAAACATAAAAAAGACATTTCTCATAAAAATTAGGCACTCAGAGGACATTCTGGGGACCTAGTACATTCAGCCCATGTAAAGGAAGCAGAAGCTGCCAATATCTGAAGGACCATGTCAATGTTACACTAAAGTGGTCTCAAGCTGTCCTTCAGGTTAATGGAAAAATTGATTCTCTGTCTGTAATCAGAAGCAAGGATGAGAGGATGGTACCTTCTTGTGGAATAGTACTAAGGTTTGTTATATGTTCACTGGTAAAAAACATCTTCTGGTTTGTTTCCACAGGATTTGTTTCTTTCAGAGTTCTCCATCCACTATGAACAACCTCTTCCCAAGAAGTTCTGTTTTCTGGCTTTTGTGGTTGTTTCATTATGTCTACTTTCCTCTTGTTCCTTCTTCCTTTCCATTCATATGGGGAAAGAACTAAAATCAGAAGCATCTTTCATTAAGAGTCTTATGATATTTGGAATCAAGCAGATTATTCAGGATCTCTTCTTCTTGCATCATGGTTTCAATTGAAAAATGAAAAGAAGGATTACTCAGCTTGCCTGAATGTCTATACTTTGGTTAACCCTTTTTGATTTTCCAACAGCAAAAAGGATGTCCCACTACAATAGTCATAAACTGTCAGTCTGATAATCTCAAGGAACTAGGATAGAGCTTTGCTATGCACTTCAGAAAAATATCCCACCACTTTTTTGCTTTTGTTGATACTGTTCTGTCCTTTCCTTGGAAGTGCTGAAGACAGGCAATCCTGAGGGATGTTTTTTAAATATCTTATAGCTTTTTACTCCTTCTCGAGCTTGTACTCATCTTAAGACTCAACAGAAGATAACATAAAGAAAAAGTGCTGATCCTAAAGAGAAACAAGGATTGGAGTGAACCTGCAAGCAGAATAGCTATGTATGAAGCAAAAGGTCCTTCATAGTCCTGTTTAAACTCCAGCTTATTTCATGTGATTCTACCAAAATTCAGAAAGAGCTAAAAATTGCTGATTTTTTGTGCTACAATTCAGAATGTGCCATGTTTCAATTATACTACAACTATCCAGAGCAGACTCAAAAATCCCTCCACCAATATCCCACTTCTCCTCTGTCCGCTCAGAACAGAACATCACGACACTCCATACCACTGTTTTGCATCTAACAGAGCCAATAATGAGTGAGACAGTATTATAAACCTTTGCTGTGCCCCAAAATACTAAAATATTTGTGTACATGAGGTTATTTAGTGCATAGATACAGGATAGTACAGTCATATACCATCCCATACAAACTTTTGTTGCACGCTTGGTGCTAAGTGGGACTTTTTAATTAATCCCTGGAATAGCAGCGACTGTGAGTTTATGTAGATGTAGATAAGTTTCTAGTACTAACCAGCAGAAAAGATGTCCTTTTCCACAATCTACAGCAGGGGCTTTTAGCATAGGGAAGCTAAGTGTATCTGATCCTGTTGAATTTGATCCTTGTCTTGTTAGCCTTACTGCTCTTTCACAGCCTGGTATAGGACACCATTTAATAGCAGGATTATTTTCAACAAAGGCCTGGGGGGAAAAAAGGAAAAAAGGAAAATATTTTACCACATAAGATCAGATTTCATCATTGATACAAAACAATCTGTATTCATAATCTTCCTTTGAAGGAACAAAGCCAAAAGCATAAGGACAATCTTGTACCTACTTTGATAGGCTTTTTTAAAAATAGTTATAAAAAGGGAATAATTTAATCTCCACCTTAAAAACAGTTGGGGGTTTTTTTTTTTTTGAAATAACAACAGTACTCCAGACTTATGCTAAGATGCAACTGACTTACATCCCAAACAAAATGTTCAATGTGTGCAAGTCAATTCTTTTGTGATATGGCTTACTGTAAACTTCTACTACATATGCACTGGCAATACACTCATTAACAGAACTGACTCTTGTAGCTGAAAAGAATTAAAACCTTATTGATTAAAACAAAAATCATAGAATCATAGAATAGTTTGGGTTGGAAGGGACCTCTAAAGGTCATCTAGTCCAACCCCCCTGTAATGAGCAGGGACATCTTCAACTAGATCAGGTTGCTCAGAGCCCCGTCCAACCTGACCTGGAATGTTTCCAGGGATGGGGCATCCACCACCTCTCTGGGAAACCTGTGCCAGTGCTTCACCACCCTCAGCGTAAAAATTTTTTTCCTTATATCTAGTCTAAATCTACCCCCTTTAGTTTAAAGCCATTCCCCCGTGTCCTGTCGCAACAGGCCCTGCTAAAAAGTTTGTCCCCATCTTTCTTATAAGCCCCCTTGAAGTACTGATAGGCTGCAATAAGGTGTCCCCGAAGCCTTCTCTTCTCTAGGCTGAACAACCCCAACTCTCTCAGCCTTTCTTCATAGCAGAGGTGTTCCACCCCCCTGATCATTTTCATGACCCTCCTCTGGACCCGCTCCAACAGGTCCATGTCTTTCTTATGCTGAGGGCTCCAAGCTGGAGGAGGCAGTACTCCAGGTGGGGTCTCCCCAGAGCAGAGTAGAGGGGCAGAATCACCTCCCTCCACCTGCTGGCCACACTTCACAATATATCCCACCCGCAATAAACTTGAAATCAGAACTAGACTAACTCAGGAATTTATCTCCAATCTTTTTTTAGTTAATGTAGCAGGTCTTCTTTTGTAAAACTTACATCTAATATATGAGGAGCAAAAAGGAACTTTCACTACTTTGCTTCAAACCTATGCTGATCACCAGCCACTTGAAATATGAAGATGTAAAAGATTAATCAGATCCGGTCATTTAGTTTGCATCTTACTGTGTAAGAGACTGTTACTGTGTATTAGAGACACTTGTCACACAGAGAAAGTATTCTATTGTAAACAAAAAAATATTTCTCTACTTTCTTTTGCCCTGCCACCACTGATAAAGTAGCACATTATCTGAAAGACTAGTTCATTACTACACTAGTATAAAAGAAAAAAGGTGAATTAAAAGATTGCTTTTAAAACCATGTTGCAATAATGGAAATAAACACACACAAAAAAATCAAACAGGAAAACGAAATCAAGGTTTTCCTACTTAATTTCCTATATACAGCAATCATACCAAGCATTGAATGGAAAAAAATTTAAGTAATTCACTTGTACTAATAAATTTTTAAAATGGAAACAGGTACTATTTCTGAATGTAAACAGTCTCTTGGTAATAAAAATAATCCAAAAACTCTTAAAAATTTTAGATTGCCAACACAAACAAGTCTGGCTGATTAAAAGCTTTATATCACCTGTTACAAACATTAGTTTGATCAAATCATTTTATTAATACTGCATTACGTTACACATTATGGAAGTATTGAATTTGTGCTTAAGGAATAAATATACTGTTCCTTCCTTTTTCTCAGTGGTATATCAAACATTGATATTATAGCATATAAGACAGCTAATAATTCAGTGTACATATTAATTTATGAATTTCTACTTGGAAAGTTACAGACATATTGCAGCATTTCACGTAGAAGTTGCAAGTTATTTTTTATAAAATTAAATACAGTTCAAGAGTACAGGAACAGATTGATAATTTACCTTAATGTCAAATTGAAGGTATCTTTTGTCCATCTCCTTGGAAACCACACTTTCTATGATGTCTACAGGCACAAGCTGGAAACAATCATATGCTGGGCAAAAAATGTTGTGAGCTTCACCCTCCTGAATTTTCAGATTCAAAAATCTGCCAGAATTTTGTCAGTCAGTATTTGTGAATAAAAAGTAAAAATTAGAAGGCTGCTGAATACTTTATACTAGGTTCACAGATATTTGCATTAATCAGTTTTTAAACAAAGAATAGGAAGTATCCCTTTCTGCTCAAAAGGGCTACAGATTTGATGAACAGCATAATTAAAAAAAAATAAAAGAACACTGTCGTGGTTCAAAAGTGAGCACCATCAGCTACACTTAGCCCTATGTGTTTGTGGTTTCCATCCTCGCCATTTATCAGACAGCTATGCAATGTTTAATTAAACTGAGCATTACTTCTAACTTAAATCAGAAACAGAACATGTTAAGTGTAATTAATCTAGGAAATCATTAATTTGATACGCAATTAATTTTTACAACTGTGCTAGTCAAAATAGGTCTGCTCTTGGAAACAAATTTCTAAATGGAGACCTTTATAGTCCCTAAGCTCTAGAATGCAAGACAGAATGAGCTCAGAAATCTGTTGAAAGCTGGGCTTTAACTCACAGTGTGCAAGGTTGTTTAGTTTAAAAGCTGTTATTTATTAATCTGACATCAAGGATGATACTGATCTCATCTAACTTTAATCATCTGAAGGACAGGCAGATATTCTAAGTTAGTCACCTGGGATCCTTTAATAGTTAAGGTAGAGAGACTTGTCAATTCATCCCATCTTAGATTCGTATCTTAGAATGGGATAACTCAGTCCTGGCTATGCTCTGAGTAACTTAGAAATGACTGGCTCGGAAAGATGAATCCCACCCTAGATGTGCCACCGCCACCACTTGCTTGACATTGAACTGTAGCTCTGAGTGCATGCACAAATCGCAGCACACACAGTCCAGCACCCAAATTAGAAGCACCATGTCAAGCCAGTGATCTCTTGGTAACTTCTACATCGCTACATAACAATTTGCAAGACAACAGAAGCATGACCATTAATTTTCTTGCCACTGAAAAGGATTGTCTTCTAAATGCTCATATGGAAGAGAAAGTGCTCTTCCTTAACATAGGAGGGATGGGTTCATATAAATTGGGCTGATCTGCAGTAGGACTAGCTGTGCTGATATGACACTATAACAGGACACTATAGTGGTACAGTTCAAGTAGTACAATCTCCTGAATGGGGACAAAGATGAATACAAAGGCACTGCATACAGATATAATTATTCCTGGGAAGTGTGATGAATATTTATACAAGCATAATTATCTACGTCTGAATTTTTTACTAGCATGACTATTTTGACTTTAAAAAAAATTATGTAGTAATAACAGCATTACACTAATAGAACTTTTAAGCGAAATCTACTCCTCAGTTATTAAGCCTAAACATAAGAAAGCATTTTAATTGCTTTTCTGACTGGAAATGGATTTACGATGCCTAAGGTTAGTGTGCTAAACTAAGAGATGGAATTAAGCACATGCTTAATTTAGAAAGTGTAAACCCCAACGCTGCCAACACCACACACACACTGAGCAAATTAAGAGAGTAGGCTCATCTATTTACACACAGGCTTGAAACATTTGCTTAAGAGTTTTGCTGAATCAGGACCAAAACATGTAAGCCTAAAACAGTTGATGGCCGCTTTGAGTGACAACTTAAATATTCAATAGGGTAAAACCAGCAACTCTTTGAAACCCAAGCAGTACTTTTAACATTAGCTGTTTATGGTCTCTGTCCTTTCCTCTTCAAAACGGCACATATAAAAGTTTCTCAAAAGAGAGAAAAGTACATATACTCACGCCTCCCAGCATGCTCTGCAGAAGTCATGTCCACAAGGCATATCCACTGGGTCTTCGAACACAGAAATATTACACATACAAATATCACACTGTAGATGAAAAAAATACTTCTGATTAAGAAATGCCCTAAAGCCTTTCATATTGTTAGCAGGACACATTACGTTGGAAAATCTCAGCAAAAATTTAAAGAAGTGCCCAGTAGGGGAAAAAAATCTAACTGTAACCAGAAAAAAAGTTATTTAAGCTATAGAAATAGAAATGGGAAAGATTAGGTATCTCTGTTTCTATACCTCCCTATCCAAACAGCACATTTTGGGATGCCTTCTGTCATGTCTTCCAGCTCAGTAAGTGCGTTACCCTGCAGAACGCCGGGATCTCGAGTTAAGAGTCCTAGGGACAAAATGGACCTGAATTTTTCATCACCTTCACAAGCAGCCAGAAATGGAGTTTGGAGATGACAGAGGCTACAGGAAATGTTTAGCATCCCACACAAACAGATCCAAATCAAGGCGAAGCAATTTGGTTGTGCAACAGCAGCAACTATTTTATGTAATAATCTACCTAAATACTATTTTTTTAAAGTACTTTGAGGCTTTCGATCAAAATAAAGAATAAGTTAAGCTACAAATATTCCAACAGAAGATACCACTGCTGAATTTTATACAACTAGGTATTATAGAAAAAATAACATTGAGTATTGAGACCCTTAATCTGAAAACATTTAAAGCATAGGGATGAAACTACTCATTGGTTGTGGTTAGGCATGAAAATAAATATTCATGTTCAAGGAGTACAAATGGATTTTTCTTTCCATTAGAACAAAGGTTCCATGAAAATTTACTTCAACTTTCAATACATTAGGTATTATACACACATAGGACATTTTCAAAAAGTTAGCTTATGGTATGCCACCTTTTAAAAGCACTTGTGTTACAGCCAAAATCAAACCAAACCAAACCAATCCAAACCAAACCAAACAAAGTCGGCCTTTAAAGTGCAAAACTCAGTGAAGGCATTTATTGTTGTTTCAGTCATTTCACCTTATTGTCTTGCTAAAATTAAATATTTTAGAAGTTGACAATGCATCAAAAATGTTCGCTATTAAATTTATACGAGTTTTCAATTTTGTTTAAAATGTAACTTTAAAATAAGGAATTTCATTAAGCCCTGAGTTCAAAATATCAAGTACAGAACATTTACTGGAACAGTTTTCATTACAAGATATGATGTAAATGCAGAATCTGAAAAGGAGATTTATAGCTTGTAGTTTTATTTTATCTACTCCTTTTAGTTTTCATTTTCCTGCCAAAATGAGAGACTTCAGAAAAATATGTATTATTTAATAAACAAGATTTTGAAAATATTATTTTGATAGCTCTTTATAAGATTTTTAAATGAGCAGGAATACTAAATGTGCAACTCTGGATTTGGATTTAGATACATTAGATCTAGAATGGCAATCCTTATCCAAACCTGCATTCCTGGCTTATGGACCATCAATCAAAAACAAAACACACAATGTAAAACTGAAGACGTGATCTTTCATTACACATTTTATTTAGGAAATATTCCTGGACAATATTTAACTGCTAATGTAAACAAATGTACAATAACATTATTCCTTCGATATAGGTTCTTTTTCAGCATTTTACAATTAAAGAAATAAAAGATTTCTATGC